TCATGTGGCCAGCATGACTAAGCCGCTTCTGGCGAACCAGAGCAGCACACGGAAACGCTGTTTACCTTCCCGCCAGAGTGGTACCTATTTATCTACTTGCACTTTGACGTGCTTTCGAACTGCTAGGTTGGCAGGAGCAGGGACCGAGCAACGGGAGCTGACCCGATCACGGGGATTCGAACCGCCGACCTTCTGATCGGCAAGTCCTAGGCTCTGTGATATAACCCACAGCGCCACCCGCGTCCAGTAAAATTTACTGAATCCCTAATTCAGTCATGAAATCTACAACCAGCCTATGCAGTCATTCAGGATTCATTCAATCATTCAGGCGGGAACACACGTTTACTAGAAGCAGGCCGCACTGAAAGCTGTGGGACTGATGTCTGAGTAAATGGGCAAAGGACAGTGCTGAAATTCATTTAAAACATTTATATCATCATCATCATTTTATTGGTATGCCTTCTTTCCATAACTATGCTCAAAGCGGCTTACAACATAAAAAGAGTTACACATTTACAAACATAACAAAAGTAGTCCTAAATAATAAATAAAACACATCAAAAAGTACACATCCAAAGATACACAAAATAATATCAACAGCAGCAACAAAATTCTCTAAGCAATACCCCAACCAAAGAGCCTGGAAGTTCGAGGGGACTGTCAGAAAAGGAAACATGAACACTGTTGTTGTTGTTTAGTCGTTTAGTCGTGTCTGACTCTTCGTGACCCCATGGACCAGAGCACGCCAGGCACTCCTGTCTTCCACTGCCTCCTGCAGTTTGGTCAAACTCATGCTGGTAGCTTCGAGAACACTGTCCAACCATCTCGTCCTCTGTCGTCCCCTTCTCCTTGTGCCCTCCATCTTTCCCAACATCAGGGTCTTTTCCAGGGAGTCTTCTCATGAGGTAGCTAAAGTATTGGACCCTCAGCTTCAGGATCTGTTCTTCCACTGAGTTATTCAAGCCCCTTCGCCACAGCAAGGCAGTGATCCATGAAGGGGATGAACACAATTAGAAATATTTTAAATGTGAAATGCAATAGAAACAGTAAAATCATCATTAGTTAAGATGAAACAAAGCAGCAGCAGTAAAACCAATCAAAGAGAACAGAAAAATGAAGGCCTTCCTAAAAGAAGTAGTAAGATCTTCACACTGCAGCAGACGACAACCAAGGATGGTAGACCCATTTGGGCAGGGAATTGTCGATGATCTTAGTACTAGGGCAAGTTCATATGGGAGCAGATGGACCATCACGGATCCTGGTTCCAAACTGTACAGGGCTTTAAACTTCATAACCAGACCATGAATTGGACCCAGAAAGAAAACAGAGAGCCAGTGCTGTCTGGCAGTAGCAAAACATGCCCCCAACATCTAGGACAACTTAAGATGACATCCAACAACATCTGGAGGGCACCAAATTGGAGAAGGCTGTATCATGTGGATCAGGTGGCGATCTTAAGAGTATCGCCGCATAGTGTCATGAGCTAGGAACTCCTCTATCTCTACCGCCTAAATTATCCTCTTTGTGTTAACCGAGTACACTTGTGCCAGTCTGGTGAGCAGAAGAGTCCCGAGCTTCAAAAGTGTGGTCCAAAGTCAGTGAATCACAGGAGCATCAGAGGGTACACCATGAGCGAAGCACCATGTGCATAAACATAAGACACATGGGGCTCTCCTATCAACCTGTGCATGTGTCCCTCATAACCAATTGTTCTGCAGCTCCCCTCCTTCTGCTGCAGAACACTTAGTACGGGAGACCCTTCTCCAGAAACCTGCTTCTGATTCCAGAATGGAGGTGGCAGTGGACTGGATTCTGGCAAGACAGAGGGAACAGAACAGCCAATCTGGGAACTAAGATTCAAGTTGTTATGGATGGAGTAGTATATTCTTCTGGAAATCACAGACATGTATTTTGGGAGTACTTCTGAACCTGGCCTTGACCATTCCGTTTCTAGGGAGCCCTCCCCAAACCATAGTTTTGGTTGCAGCACAGAGAGCAAGCCAAGTCTCTGTGTCTTCACAGCTCCACATGAGACTAGCCCAAATTCCCCGTGATCTATTCTCCCACACCTAGCATGAAGGAGTGTCCAGCCAGGTGAGTGGGGGAAGGCCTAACTCTTCCACTGGCAACACATCTCTATTTGATCAACTCTTTAGACAAGTAAAAAGGATCCTAAATAGGCTCGGCCAGGACCATTAACAGAACAAAGAGACTGTTTAGACCTTTACAATAGGTTCTCATCTTGCAAATACAAAACCACAGGTTTGGAGGTTATGTAAATATATCATCCAAACTGACACACCCCCTCAACAAAAATCCTATAACAATATATTCTTGGCACTGATTTCAGCCTAGTTCCAACTTTAGCCGTTCCACAAAATCTGAATCCAGCATTATGTATTATTCTTTATCCATCACTTATTCGCATTTGCAGCCCAGAAGGGGCCAAAGTGGACCAGAACTATCATCAGAGGCTGGTATTTTTCTGCAGCTGTTACGATGGGAGAAATTTGGGGGCAAACAGGTCCCAAAACTTTGACTTGTTTTTGTTTCATGACCTTGGAGAAGCCACAATAACAATCCGCTTGCCAGGCTGTGGGTCTCTAAAATACAGATCAGGCTTGTCTTCCTCACTGTGGGTTGGAGAGGCTTATTTCATTAGCGATAATAAAGCGCTTTGGGGCTTATGGGTGGAAAAAAGAAAACTCCAGCAAAGGGCAACTTCTTAACTTTTGCATGGAAATAGCAGCAAGGTCAGCAAAATGTTGTTTTGCTCCATTTAGAAGAAGCAGGTCAGTCATTTCAACTCTGAAAGTTAGGATACCGGACTGGCAATTATTTCACTACCTAACCCCAACCCCTAACATTACCAACTCCTTAAACTGGCAACAACAACAACAACAACAACAACAACAACAACAACAACAACTTTGCAGTGCTTCTTTAATTCAGGACAGGGTGATTCAAACCGTTTAAACAGCCCTTAGCAGAGAAATGGGATTCTTAGCCTGCTTGGGTCTGTCTGTCCTAATGGAAGCCACAGCAAGATAGTTTGTTTGGTTCTGGCTGAAATTTTTCTGGAGAGTTGAGAAAGGAATTGACTTCTTGTGCTCAGAAGCTTGGAGCTGGTTGGACACTGCACTGATTCTGCCTTAAAGACGAATACTTGCCTCTGTCTGATACTGAAGCCTTTATTGGTCTACCTTAATTTGGAATTTCAAACGGGCATCTACAAGAGTTTTTGCCACCTACTGCTTCCTTATTATGTTAACAATAGCGTGGGGAATTTTCACCATTATAAATTATTTTCGTCGTCATTATACTGCTTAATGCCCAAACAAGCTTCTGAGCTGTCTACAAAATATTTTTAAAAACCATTTGCACAACAGTAATATAATTATACAATAATTAAAAATAAACTCTAATTAAAACACAATAAAACAATCCCTTGGAGGTTTCTAAGCAGAGGCTGTATGACCATCTGTCATGGATGCATAATTTAGCTGCGATTCCTGAATGGCAGGGAGTTGGACAAGATGACCCTCAGGTTTCCTTCCAACTCTACAATTCTATGATCCTATTAAAAATGGGATTTTGCCAATGCAGTGTAGCAGTTACAGCGACTAGGGAGATCACAGAACTCAACTGCTCACTCAGCTCTACCTGTACAAGCAATGGATCAGCCGAACTGTTCCTGGCTTGTACCATCCTGGCCTGTACCATCCAGACTACAGAGGGAGAGTCACACATTTCAGAGATGGGGAACTAGCAGCCCTCCAGTTTGTGTTGGACTGCCAACTTCCATCATCAGTCTACTGTCGCAGAGGCACTAAATATTGACAGGCATCTTCATGGTTTTTTGCTCTCTCTTTTGTGGAGTTCACTTCTCGTCCCAGACTTGGACCAGATTCTTCAAAGCAGAAGATTCTCCTCTTGAGAACATCCCAACAAAGGGATGTTCTGAGCATCTTGGCACAGCCAAGACGACGCGTGGAGACATCGTCCAGGTTTCAGTGAGGTTGTCCATAATTTCCCCTTATTTTTTTCTGCTTCCCAGATGCATACCTTCTTCTTGTTGTTGTTGTTTAGTCATTTAGTCGTGTCCGACTCTTCGTGACCCCATGGACCAGAGCACGCCAGGCACTTCTGTCTTCCACTGCCTCCTGCAGTTTGGTCAAACTCATGCTGGTAGCTTCGAGAACACTGTCCAACCATCTCGTCCTCTGTCATCCCCTTCTCCTTGTGCCCTCCATCTTTCCCAGCATCAGGGTCTTTTCCAGGGAGTCTCTTCTCTTCTCATGAGGTGGCCAAAGTATTGGAGCCTCAGCTTCACGATCTGTCTTTCCAGTGAGCACTCAGGGCTGATTTCCTTCAGAATGGAGAAGTTTGATCTTCTTGCAGTCCATGGGACTCTCAAGAGTCTCCTCCAGCACCATAATTCAAAAGCATCAATTCTTTGGCGATCAGCCTTCTTTATGGTCCAGCTTTCACTTCCATACATCACTAATGGGAAAACCATAGCTTTTACTATACGGACCTTTGTTGGCAGCATACCTTCTTAGTGCCTTGTTTAAGTCACCCAACTTTTGCAACGAACAAAGTGAAGGGCATATGGTGGCTGGTTGAATAAGCTGCTTAACTAATTGATTAAGGTTCTTTGTGAATCTTCATTGCCATGACTTCATGTAGGGAGCAAGCAATATCTAAGGCATAAGTAGACACACCAAACAGTGGTAAATCCTACAATCTATTGATGGGCACAGTTTTTAAAGTTTTAAATAGATACCACAGGAGGAGGGAAACTGAGCTGCAAGAGGAGGAGTTTAACCCTCCCCGCTGCTAAGGCCCCAGCGAAAATCACCCCCCGCCACAAGTTGTCAGTTGCCCCAGAATGGAGCTTTCGCTGTTGTCACTACCTGAAAATGAGTGCTTATTTGTCTCCGCCAGAGGGGCTGCGTGAGATTGGCTAATATGGATTTGTCTTTGGATTTCAGGGCAAGATGGCCCAGGATATGACTGAGAAAGAGCTCCTAAAGATGGAAATAGACCAGCTGAAAAAGGAAGTGAAGCTTGAAAGACAAATGGTAATGATTCCCAAAAGCTCTGAGACAAAATATTTATGCTGGCCGGCCAATTGGTGCCAGTCTGCACAGACAACATGCATTTAAATACAAAGAATTGTGGGAAATGCAGTTTAAAGGGGCTGGGAATTGTAACTCCTTGGGAGGGGGGCGGAACTACCATTCCCAGGGTTCTTTGGAGGATGTCGTGTGTTTTAAAGGTATGGTGTATATACAGCCCTATCGTGCGCAAGTTCTTTTAAGTTACACAGCACAAATTGTCAGGTGGAAAGAGGAGGTTGCTCAGTTCTGGCTATGATCAAATAAAGCAAGCATAAGCCACTGAGAAGTTCTCCTGCACAAGGCCCACTGAAATAAATGGGAGCTATGCGAGGATAGCGGGTGGCGCTGTGGGTTAAACCACAGAGCCTAGGACTTGCTGATCAGAAGGTCGGCGGTTCGAATCCCCATGACGGGGTGAGCTCCCGTTGCTCGGTCCCTGCTCCTGCCAACCTAGCAGTTGGAAAGCACGTCAAAGTGCAAGTAGATAAACAGGTACCGCTCCGGCGGGAAGGTAAACGCCGTTTCTGTGCGCTGCTCTGGTTCGCCAGAAGCGGCTTAGTCATGCTGGCCACATGACCCGGAAGTCATACGCCGGCTCCCTCAGCCAATAAAGCGAGATGAGCGCCGCAACCCCAGAGTCAGTCACAACTGGACCTAATGGTCAGGGGTCCCTTTACCTTTACTTTATGCGAGGATACAACAGTATTGCACAGCTCCCAAACATTGAATGTGTCTTGTGCAGCAGAAGTTCCTGTTGAACAGAGCCCTGTATTATGTAATAGTGCAAAGACTATGGGTTGTTTCAACCAGACAGCTACTTGAGTATTTCAAACATTCAAGTAGCAAGACACATGGGGTGGTATTCAATTAATTAACTGTTACTCAGAATAGGCCTATTGAATCTCACAAACCTAAGTTGGTTGTGTCCATTAACTTGAATGGGTCTCCTCTGAGTAGGCCTTGCATTGAATACCACCCATGAAGACAACATCAGTGAAGATTTTGCTTCCAGCCAGGGGGATTTGCTGAATATTTGTACACACCCACACCCACCAGAGTTTAGTACTTGGCTATACAAAAATCCCTGAAAGAGTTTGAAATTGAGATTTCCGACTTTCTCCAGCGGGATGAGTCTGTTAGTTATTACTTTATTGTGTTGGCCCAGGACATTTTGCTGCCAAAATTAGGAGGAGCAGAAAGAGGCGTCACCCCCTTCCTAGAGTCAAGGTACAGAGCACCAAACCGTGCTCACATTATTTTGGGCATCTCGGGCAGAAAATCCCACAAGTGCCCCTCTTCCCTCTGCAGCAGTTAAAAAAAGCAAAAGCAAAATAGTAAATAACTAACCATTCACCACCTCACTCTGTCCAATGGTAGAGCCGGCCCCCACCAATTTGCATGCTTTCACATGACAGCTTTATTCAGAAATTGGTCCCATTGAGGGGTGGTAGTCAACAAAGTAGATCCACTGGTGCAGACTTTTGGCTGCACAGTAGCACTCTCCCCCCACCCCACGTTCCCCTAAATCTGTTATGGGTAAAGCTGCATTTGTCCAGGTTTTCCCACACATGTCTAGGAATCGCTCCAGGAGAGATCAGGTACCAAAAAGTTTTAGGCCGGTCCACAGAACCACAATGATGATGCTAATTTTTTTCCCTCCTCACACAGGTCTCGAAGACAGCAAAAGAACTCAAGGATTATATAGAATCCATGGCTGGAGAAGACCCTCTCTTAAAAGGTGTTCCAGAAGACAAAAACCCATTCAAGGAGAAGGGAGGCTGTATAATAAGCTGACCCCGGCCCCGCCGAAAGAAGATCATTGTTGTGTCCTTGTACGAGAAATACCAGGAGTGTAAGAATCTGTCTAGCGTAACTGAGTGTAAATGATCTTCTGCCGGGGGGGGCGGGGGTAGGACTCCTTTGCTGGAGTTTCACATAGAACAAAAGAATTGGAAAGTGGTCTCCTCCAAAAGAAAAAAAGGAAGACGACAATCTCTCTTTTAGGACCTCACGTTCAATTCCTTGGGTTGCTTCGAGAGGAAGGATGGGATATAAATTGAATAAATAAAATAAATTCCCATTTTGTAAATACGTCACCAGTTTCCCAAAGAAAGCCTGGTTTTAATTGCTGGTTTAGTTTTTTGAGTTCAATTGGCATATTATTTTGTATGTGTTTGGTTGTTGTTGTTTACTAGCTTCCCAAGAGAAAAATGGTAGGCAAAGGAAAGTATTCTTTGTGTAGGATGCTTCTTCTTAAGAAGCGAGTGTCTTTTACAGCTGGGATGGGAGAATCTGAAGCCCTTGGCCTAATTTCATGTAACTTGCAGAGATGGGATAGCAGAGAGAGACAGAGAGAGCAATGAAATCCTGTAGTGCTTCAAACTCCGCCCACTTCTGGCCATGATTCCACCCACCATTGGCTGCACCCTCCCACTGACTTTTTTCTGTGGGTCAATTGCCCTTTCTAGGGGGGGAGGGAGGGTTCTCCACACATTTACAGATTTTATAACCCACATTTGTGACGTAAGGGGCTCTGTACACACCGTACATTTAAGGCACTTTTAAAGCCCAAAGAAGAGTTTCAGCAGTTGTGTGCTTAATCCTTCCCCCTCTGAACATTTTTCTGTGTCAAGTCATACACACAACTCCTTTTTTCTCTTCATGAGTTTCTTGAGTTTCACAGTCTTTATGACATCTGCACAGTACGAGGAGGGGGCAATTTGGAAAAGAAAAATGCTCCAAGGTGTGTTTGCCTAATCCTTTCCCCTCCGGCCATTTCTTTCTTCCAAACCACCCCATAGAAGCTTTTCCCGTTCATGCGTTTTCAGAGCCTCCCGGCTATAGAGCTTTTATAACAGCTGTAGGAGTCTAACGCTGAACAGTTTGCCAGCTTTTATTCTTACTTCCCTACCCTTGCTTCAGGTGGGATGTCATATATATATATATATATATATATATATATATATATATATACACACACACACACACACACATGGAGACAAGTGAATATTAACACTGAGCACATTAACAAAGAGATGAAACAACACAGCCCCCCACCTGTTGTCCATAATTATCGTCAAAGATTAATAATTGCCATCGCTTTTTCTAAAAGTAACGAGGCTTATTCTTTACACAGCATCACCACATATAATTGTCTTGTAAAATAATGATAGCGTTAAAGTCAGATTTTGAATTGTCAGTTGTATTGTGGAGTGCAAAATACAATAACCTAATTGTTTGTAATTAAAAACGCAGATCTTTGTGTGCAGCATTGGATGTGGCCTGCTTTGAATTTCTTGATTCGTTTATTTATTTTGAAGCTCAAATCAAGTATTTATTGGAGAAATATATCTAAGGCATGAGAGGTGGAGGGCAGTGAGGAGAAATTCCAAGGGGACAAATGTGGGTTCCATGGGGGGAAACTGTCACTGTCAAATACACTTATTTCACCTCAGAAATGTGCATACACATTGTACATTTAAAGCATATTTCCCCCTCAAAGAAACTTGGGAACTGTTAAGGGTGCTGGGAATTGTACACACAATTCTGTAAAGGGCAAACTACAATTCCCAGAATTCTTTGCAGGGGGATGTGGCTTAAATGTTCTTTTAAATGTATGGGGTGTGTGGGGATGTAAGAAAAAGGCTCTCACCATTTAATCATCTACGCCCTGATCCACTGAATGCAATTCAGGCCTGTTCCCATTGCTGCTGCTGTCCCAACATAAATACCTCAGGAGTACCTCAGACAATGCTTCCAGTTTGTTCTATTTTTGGGTGGAATTCAAGCACATCCCAACAAATTCAGGTTGTGTTGGTTCAAGGAAAAACCGATACAGAAAGGAAGAATTCCTGGCTCCCATGTTTGGGGCAAGTACTATTTGGTGAGAGAACCCCCGCAGAGATTTAAAGTCACAAAATATGCACTGTGGTAAAGCAAAGCATGGAAAGATAGGCTGTTATGCCTTTAAAATATGCCCTTCGAAGTTCCTCCCAAAGTTCTCCTCTTCTCCTTGCACAGAAAATGACTGCAATGCATGTTTGGCAAGTTAAACATGGTTTACTTACAAATCCTCCAAAGGTCAGATTCATGTGCTTTTCCATACAGCATTCAGAAAAAGGCGCACAGGATGTAAAACTTGGCTTGGTTACAATAGTGAAAATTCCTAATTTATTGGTACCAGAACGCAATAAAGGCTTGTTAAAGCCATGCGGTCTGAACTTGGAGCAACAAGCTCGCACCTGTTTACACATTGAGCTTCTCTGGTAGGCTGGGAGAGAATAGGCCTGATTACCTAGTTCAGGCTTCCTCAACATTGGCCCTCCAGATGTTTTGAGACTACAATTCCCATCATCCCTGACCACTGGTCCTGCTAGCTAGGGATCATGGGAGTTGTAGGCCAAAAAACATCTGGAAGGCGAAGTTTGAGGAAGCTTGACCTAGTTCCTCCCATGATAAAAGCCCGGCAGGACAGCTTACTCTATGACAGGCTTCCTCAACCTCGGCCTTCCAGATGTTTTTGGCCTACAACTCCCATGATCCCTAGCTAGCAGGACCAGTGGTCAGGGATGATGGGAATTGTAGTCTCAAAACATCTTGAGGGCCAAGGTTGAGGAAGCCTGCTCTATGATCTTAACCCCTTCATGCATTAAGAAAGACTTACACATGTTAGCTATGAGGCTGGTTATCCCAAAGGTTGCACAATTACACTTGATTGGGAGGTGTTGTACAACCAACCCGCTTCTCCCAAAGATCAGACTTCTTCTGATAAGGAAAGTGACAGGGAAATGAAGCAGAAAGTGCAGGGCAACCCTTGTTTTTGACTTAATGGTCATCTAACCTCCTCACAAACAAATCAGTATGAATGCCCATTAAATAGCCAACACTGTCTAATCTCCCTGAAAACTAAATCAGGATGACCGCTCAATAAACAGGCCACCTGGAAGCACCCTCTGTCTCCACAGGCAGTGCAATATGTTGGCAATCTGTTTTGCCTGAGTCTCTAGATCAGTGATATGGTTTCCCATAAAATCTGAGTGTGTTCATCCATTGAGGAACGTTAATAAAAAATATATTTGAAGGGTCAGATACACGTTGCGAGGTCGAGGGCTCTTCTCCTTCTGTAAAACAGGTGACCTACTTAAACCAAGCTATGTACTTTGTAGCCTATTTCAGAATGACATAATCTCTTTTAAAGGGATTTGGGCTTCTAGCCCTTTCCTGTTTGCCTTTGGATTCTTCCCCGAAGATTTCCTGTAATGCAGGAAGCACCGAGGTCACAGTCAGAAGTCTGGGGCCTTCACGATTTGATTCCTTCTCCAGAACTTTGTGGGGGCTCCTGGCTGTCGTGGTGTGACCAAACTAGCAGGGAGGCCAAGAGACACCCCTTTCTTTGGCTTCCTAACCACAGACCTTCAGGTCAACCCAAGGGTCAAAAGAATCCATGATGCAGCGAGAACTAATTTGCTCTCAAAAATGCTCTCTTGCAAATGTTGATGTCCCATGTTTTTGAGATAATTTCCTGAATCCTCAAATATTTTTGCTGAATGCCTTGTTGTTGTTTAGTCATTTAGTCATGTCCGACTCTTCATGACCCCATGGACTGCCATGCCAGGCACTCCTGTCTTCCACTACCTCCCACAGTTTGGTCAAACTCATGTTGGTAGCTTTGAGAACACTGTCCAACCATCTCGTCCTCTGTCGTCCCCTTCTCCTTGTGCCCTCCATCTTTCCCAACACCAGGGTCTTTTCCAGGGAGTCTTCTCCTCATGAGGTAGCCAAAGTATTGGAGCCTCAGCTTCATGATCTGTCCTTCCAGTGAGCACTCAGGGCTGATTTCCTTCAGAATGGATCGGTTTGATCTTCTTGCAGTCCATGGGACTCTCAAGAGTCTCCTCCAGCACCATAATTCAAAAGCATCAAATTCCTCATCAATCAGCCTTCTTTATGGTCCAGCTCTCACTTCCATACATCACTACTGGGAAAACCATAGCTTTAACAATACAGACCTTTGTCAACAAAGGTGATGTCTCTGCTTTTTCAGATGCTGTCTAGGTTAGTCATTCCTTTTCTCCCATGAAGCAGGTGTCTTTTAATTTCCTGACTGCTGTCACCATCTGCAGTGATCATGGAGCCCAAACAAGTAAAATCTCTCACTGCCTCCATTTCTTCCCCTTCTATTTGCCAGGAGGTGATGGGACATCTAATACCTGATACTGTTATGAGTTTGGGGGAGGATGGAGAACTGGCCAGGCAAGTTTCTTTTAGGACAAAGGCCAGCTGGCTACTTCGAGTGCCCTGAGGAGCATTTCCAAGGAGTGAGATGGGTTGTAACAACTGCATCTATGTGAGAAACAACAAAAACAGCCAGCTGAGCTGGAGATTTGTTGTGTGAGTGATCTAGAAACTGGAAAGAAGGTCCTGCAAAAAAAGGAGTGCCAACTTTGCCCTGCAACCGTGGGTGCCTGGGGCCGTGGGTGCCATGCAGCGTGTACAGCCTTGGCACTGAAATTTGTGGGTGCCTAGCCCCTTCATGGGGAATGTTGTGGGTGCTCGGGCACCCAGCGAGTTGGCATCTATGCTGCAAGGGCCGGGGGAGAGACAAACAAGATTTTTTGGGGCTTAATATGTGAGCAAGGGACGTGGGTGGTGCTGTGGGTTAAACCACAGAGCCTAGGACTTGCCAATCAGAAGGTCGGCAGTTCGAATCCCCGCAACGGGGTGAGCTCCCATTGCTCGGTCCCAGCTCCTGCCAACCTAGCAGTTCGAAAGCATGTCAAAGTGTAAGTAGATAAATAGGTACCGCTCCGGCGGGAAGGTAAACGGCATTTCCGTGCACTGCTCTGGTTTGCCAGAAGCGGCTTAGTCATGCTGGCCACATGACCTGGAAGCTGTACACCGGCTCCCTCGGCCAATAAAGTGAGATGAGCGCTGCAACCCAAGTCGGTCACGACTGGACCTAATGGTCAGGGGTCCCCTTTACCCTTTAATATGTGAGCACCTCCATCTTCTGCTCAGGCTTATTTTGTAATAACTCTTTGTCTAGTAATGAGATTTCCTTTGTAAAGCCTCTTTTCTTATCTGCCTTGAACACTTCATTTAGTTGGCAATACTGAATCCACCCTGTTAAAGTGATGCCTTATTTCCTTGTAGTCTTTTAATATCAGCTTAGTGTGTTTTGCCTTTGGCAAATCTTTCTTTTATTTTGTAGACCAGTTTATTTCCATATTTTTCTTTTTTACCATTATGTCACTCTACTGTGGTGGCCAAACTTTGCCCTTCAACTGTTTGGGGACTACAATTCCCATCATCCCTGACCACTGGTCCTGTTAGCTAGGGATGATGGAAGTTGTAGTCCAAAAACAGCTGGAGGGCCAAGTTTGGCCACCTCTGCAAGTCTATCTTATTCTCCTTCAGTGAACCTTTTAGCACAGAGAGGTGTGCCCCCATGTGGCCAGAGTCCATAATTAAAGGCCCTTCGTTTGCAACTCCCCATGAAGTGTTCACACACTCACAAATAGCTGTTTTTGAGCAACTTGCTCTTTATTTAAGGAGTAAAACCTATCATCCAGCAATGTAGAAAAACAACCCGTTTTCAACACTATTTTGCCCCACGTCACCTTCCTTAATGAATTACATAAAAGGTAAAGGTAAAGGGACCCCTGACCATTAGGTTCAGTCATGACCAACTCTGGGGTTGCAGCACTCATATCGCTCTATAGGCTGAGGGAGCCGGCGTTTGTCCACAGACAGCTTCCAGGTCATGTGGCCAGCATAACTATGCCGCTTCTGGCAAACCAGAGCAGCGCACGGAAATGCCGTTTACCTTCCCGACGGTGCGGTACCTATTTATCTACTTGCACTTTGACATGCTTTCGAACTGCTAGGTTGGCAGGAGAGGGGACTGAGCAAGGGGAGCTCACCCCGTTGCGGGGATTCGAACCGCAGACCTTCTGATCGGCAAGCCCTAGGCTCTGTGGTTTAACCCACAGCACCACCCGCGTCCCTAATGAATTACATAGTTTAATATAAAACAAGACAACAGAAGAACAGTGCTGGATCAGGCCAGTGGCTCGTGTGGTCAAGCATCCTGTTCTCACAGTGGCGAACAGGATGCCTGTGGGAAAACATCAAGCAGGATCCTGACCTGTGGTCTCATGATATTCAGAAGCATGCAAGCTGTGGCGAACTCTCCACGCAGCTACAATTCCCAGCACCCTTTCACAAACTACAGATCCCAAGATTCACTTCAAATGTGTGCTGGATGTGTTTTTAAGTGTCTGGTATGGATTCGCCCTTCCCTTCTGTTAACTTCATGGCACCGTGATGGACACATGTAAGCTCCACCTTGGGATGGCTTTGCTTACTCAGGAGTAATAAACCATAGTTTAGAGACAGAATCCTTAGTTGCATCAGCCACCAGCCATAGAAATAAAATAAAATGTACTGAAGATAGAGGTAAAAACTTAACTATAGAAAATACATTTTGGGGGTTGACAATAGTCAAATAATAGATCTTATTCCAATTGCCCCTGCTAAACACCTTGCAGTTTTTGCTGTCACCTTGATCTGCTAAAAGAAAGAACACAGTAGCAATGGTTGAGCGACCTGGCATGGACAATAATACAGTGGTACCTCAGGTTACATATGCTTCAGGTTGCAGACACTTCAGGTTACAGACTCCGCTAACCCAGAAATAGTACCTCGGGTTAAGAACTTTGCTTCAGGATGAGAACAGAAATCGTGCTCCGGCGGTGCGGCAGCAGCAGGAGGCCCCATTAGCTAAAGTGGTGCTTCAGGTTATGAACAGACCTCCAGAATGAATTAAGTTCTTAACCCGAGGTACCAATGTATGGGGTAATAACCTCACTCCTCAAATCTTTATAGAGTGCAAGCCAGACGCACATGAGCCACTGACTCAATACTGCCATCTCCACAGGGACCTAACCGTTTTTCCAGTGGAATTTTTTGAAATCGACCCTCCAGTACAGTATATTCAGTCTTCCGAAAGTGAAAGCACGTCTGTATTTGGGAATTATTATATTTTGCAAACAGGGCGCCAAAGTGTCAAAATGACTAGATGGAAGATAATCATACCATGGACGAAATGAATAACCCTTATGTTTCTCCATTCTTTCAACCGGCAAGTCTATTCGGACTAGTTCTGCACTTCTGATGCTACGAAGACCGAACTCCCAACAGTTCGTACCCTCTCCCCGCCCGCAACGCTACTGGCATTCGGACCTCCCTCGTGGCCAGTAGCCATTGGCAGAGCCTTATATGCACGGATTCTGCCTTGCCCCCAAGCTATTGAAATCTCCCTTTTGCAACACCATGAACGCACGCTAAATTATGGAATGATGCTTCCGGGCAGTTGCATAATAAAGAGGGCGGGCGGGGGCGCAGGTCTCTATCCAGTGATCGAATTGCAAAAGCATTGCCCGCCTGCAAAAACGCAGCGCAAAAACATTAGCAGGCGCGTGCACGAAGTAAGAGCGGGCTTGCTCGACGTGCATAGCATTGCCCATCTCCAGCCGAGCTGCTGCAAACCTCGTTTGCCTTTCTTGGCTGCCAAGACACCCTCGGAGCCGAGCGCTCCGTTAAAGCGCCTCCACTGAAGGGCAGCGCCAGATCCGCTTCGCCTCCTCTCCTCCTTCCAGCCTCCACTTTCTCCCGAGAGCCGCACGCATGCGCACTGCTAACCAATGCCTGTTGCAAGCACAAAATACAGCCCCCTTTCTCTCCCCCCCCCTCCTGGTTTGAAGGAGCAACTCCTGGTCGCCCTAAGTAAGAGGTCCCCAAATTTCACTTAGGGCAAAAATGTCCCCCACGAGGTCCCACCGAGATTTGAACTCGGATCGCTGGATTCAAAGTCCAGAGTGCTAACCATTACACCATGGGACCTGCTGGCTCCTTAGTGGAGCAGGAGGCTTCCTCAGTTACAGCTGCCGCCGCTGTTGCTCCCCCCACTGCTGCTTTGCAAATGGTACGAGCGGATTAGGCTGGCTGGAGGGGGGAGAGGAGGAAAACAAAAGCATAAAAATATGTCCGGCGAGGTGGGTGGGAAAGCAAACATGAGCATGAGCTCAGCAGGAAATGGCATGTTTATTTATTTTTCCCTTACGCAACATTAGACTGTAGAGCTTCGTTTGCACGGCATGGCGCTTTGCACCGTGGCGCTACTCCCGGCTGCAGCGTTGCACGCCCGGGGAGGGTGCAAAGAGGACGTCTGGAGCCTTTGCTTGCAGCGCCAGACAGCCAGGCCGGAAGGTGACGCCGGAGAAGCATCTTGCCTAAGATATTTGAGTGCTTGGTGGAGTGGCGGGGGGGGGGGGAGGGACACGCCAAGGGTGTCACCCGCCTGCTGCTGCTTCATTCCGTATACAGTGGTACCTCGGGTTAAGTACTTAATTCGTTAACCTGAAGCACCACTTTAGCTAATGGGGCCTCCTGCTGCTGCCGCGCCGCCAGAGCATGATTTCTGTTCTCATCCTGAAGCAAAGTTCTTAACCCGAGGTACTATTTCTGGGTTAGCGGAATCTGTAACCTGAAGCGTATGTAACCCGAGGTACCACTGTACTGTACTAAGGGCAAGCGGGATGCGGATCGTACCCTGAAAGGAACGGGAAACGGCCACCCAGAGCGAAAATCTCCGTGCGTAACTCTTTAGGAGCGAGCATCGCTTTCAGGCGCAGGGATCAGCTGCGGCTGCTGCGTAAAAACGCACCGGATCAGGCTGTGTTTTGCAAGGAGGAAGCAGCGCCGGTACGCTTTGGAAGACTGACTTTCTCTCTGTGTCTGTCTCTCTCTCTCACCTGGCTGGTAGTGAGAAGAGCAATAGCCAGTATCATACTTGATTACTGCTAGAATCCAAAGCATCGGGTATGAGAGAAGCAAGACCTCCCTGGGGTGTTGATGCTGTGAGCCCTTCCATCGTAGGATCAAGTTGTATGGATGTTTAAAATCACCATCATTCCAAGGAGATCAAACCCTGGGTAAACGCCCGGAACCCTTGGAATCGCACGCTGCTTAGAGATTGGGGGTGGTGTACAACAGTATTTAAAATTTATACTAAGGACCCAGATTTAGGGACCGTTATGATCGATGTATGGATAATTCAGCGTGGGATCCTCCATTAGATATTAACCCGTGCAGGTTCCAGGAATTAGAAGGGACTCAGACATCACCAAACTCCCAACAACACATTGCATTAAAACACAGCCTGGATAGCTCAGCTGGTTAGAGTGGGGTGCTGTTAATGCCAAGGTTGCAGGTTTGATCCCAGCTACATATGCCGACTAGATCATCCATCGGTCCTTTCCAAAGCTATGATTCTGCGATGCACTTCTTTGATTCTACGATGTACATTAAACTTAGAACGTTAACAGACAATTGGAGCTTAGCTCAGCAACACTCAGTGCTGATCTTGAGTCTTTAATCCGCAGCATCCCTTTTCTTTCACACCTTAGCCACTGGGTACAGGTTAACACCATCTCCAAAAATCATTGCTAAGGCAATAATAAGGCAACCCTTCTTAAAACAAATAGTGCTGGGAAGATAAATAAGAAAATATAGTTATGAAAGGGAATACCAGGGAAATTTACAAAATATTAGTAGAATCTCAGGATCAACAAGATCAACTAAAAGAATTGTGGGGAAAGGAGTTAACAGTTCCAATAAATAGTCAAAGCTGGGGGGAAATATGGGAGAAACACACTGTGAAAATGATGTCTATAAGGATAAAAGAAAATGACTAAGACTAAATCAAATAGACAAAAAACATTCAGTGTTATGTTGGAGGGGACGTCAGGAAACCGGGACTTACGCTCATATGTGGTGGGGTTGTAAAACTTTTGGCAAAGAGCGTCTAATGAGCTAAGAGAAATAATAGGGTTAATGCTGAATGAAAGTCCAGAAATAGCATTGATTGTATGATAAGGTTAAATGTATGCAAGCTGTGAAGGACTTAATCACAAACTAACTAGGAAATGGGAAAAGCAAGGTGGATTTCAAATAGAAAAGTGGTATAAAGAAGTGTGGGATATAGCGATTAATGACAAATTAATGTGTGCTATCAAAGCAAGACAGGGAATATGGAAGGGAAATTACTGAGAAAATATGGAAGATATTTGTGAATTTTGTATTGTAAAAACAGAAAGGGGTCAAACCATCTCCCTACATACATTAAGCATAACAGAAACATCACCACTGGACCCCACCCCCACTCATCTTCCTTCCCTCCACCCCTTCTTTTTTTTTCTTCTCCCCCTAATGTCTAAACAAATGAAACGGATTTGTAAAAATGTTACATGGAAAAAATATGAGAGACATTACACTTACTTCTGTAAAACAAGAAAATCTTTAATAAAAAATTTTTTTAAAAAAAAGTGTCGAATTTTTGGAAAGTTTGATGATTACTATAAATAATGGTCTCGGGGGCAGGATACACAATTTTATATGTATTATTATTACTACTGTCAGAGCTGCCTCAAGTCTCAGCTCACAAAAGACCAACGCCTATGTCTTCTTATATACAAAAGTGTTTATTGCAGTTCATTGTTTGCTTGACATCCTAGGCGCGCAGCCCTACGTCTGCTACGCTTAGACCGCTGAAGTCCCCTCTGAATCCGTCCCTCCCCTGCACCAATTTAAGAGGCTTGCGCTGCTCCACCTCTTTCTCTCTTTCCTTTTCCGCAGGGTCCTTCTGCCCGCTGGGGTTTCGCCCCTCCTGGATTCCTCTGACGCGGAATCAGACTGCTCTTGCCCCCTCCTGCGGGCTTTGGGACCTGGCCCCTCCTCCGGGCTCCCTGTACTTCCGCGCGCCTCTACATTTGAACTTGGCGCGCGCGCCCAGCCTCTAACCTTCCTTTCAACAGCTACACTACTCCCTTCACTGCCCCCTCCCCTTCTGGGAGGATGGCTTGCTCCGACCTCCCTCCTTTCTCTACTGCCGGAGCCGCTTCCCTGACACACTGAAACCTCCACCCCCTTCGCTGCACTCTGGCGGGGAGGCTGGTCCTGACACCCAGCTGCCACTTTGGGATGCCCAGCTGGCCCCCTGCTCCTGACACGTCCCCCCTGGGGCTCCCCTGGGCTTGACCACCGGCGCCCCCTTCTGGGAATCCTCTGATTCGCTGGAAAGACTCATGGAATCTCTTGAGTCATTGTCATCCTCTTCCTCGCTGTCCTGGGATTCATCCCCATCGCTCTCCATCTCCTGCCTACCCTGTGCCTCTGTCCCAGAACCCCTGACATCCATCCCCCCCTCGAAGCCCCCCCTTCCCCCCTCCCGCTGCTCGGGCGCAGGTTCCGGGAGCTTCGTTGTAGCGGGGGTAGATGCTGGATACAGTTCGTCGACGTCGATCTCCTCTGCTTCCAGTTCAGTGTAGGAGTGCTCGAAACCGGGGTCCTCCCCTAACACATCCAAACCCCTCCTCCACCCCACTTCTGGTTGATCGTCCCACCAATAAGAGCGGTCCGTGTCCACCCCCGAGCACGATCCCCTTGGAGGGCTCGATTCCGGCGTGGTCTCCTCTGCGGAGGAGAACCCCCGGAAGGTGCTGCCTGAAAGTGTGGGGGTAAAAAGCCAGTCGTCAAAATACTCCGCTGGCATGGGCCTGTGTGGGAAGAGTGCATGGAACTCGTCTTTAAGAAAAGGTTCCTCCAGAGCATAATCTGGCACCCAACTGTTGGCGCTGGCCGGGGTACCTTCCCTGGCGAGGAGGTATTCCACTCCCTCCTCCCCCCATCTCGAGTCCAGAATTTCCGTGACCTCGTTGAGTGTCGGGGTCCTCGGTGACTTCCCCCCCCGGTGACTTTCTACGTGGGTCTGGTGCCGTCCCTGGCTCCTGAAATCTGTGTGGGGCCTTGTAGGGTGTGAGCACCGACCTATGAAAGACCGGGTGCATTCGGGAATCCTCTGGGAGGGTCAACCGAAAGCTACGGGATTGATCCTGCCCTCAACTTGGTATGGCCCTAGCTGTTTGTGTCCTAGCTTCTTCTTAGCTAACGACTTGGCCGGCACCGCCTGGGCTGCTAACCATACCCAGTCCCCCACCTGGATGTCTTCTCCTGCCCTCCTGTGCCTGTCTGCCTGCACTTTGTAGGCGTGTTTAGCTAGTTCCAAGTGCCGTCGTAGCTCCTCGTGGACCTCCTGCAATTCTGCTGCTAAATGCTCTGCTCCCTGCGACTCCCCCTGCGTCGTTGTCTCCAACGCCGGGAAGGTTCTGGGATGTCGCCCATTGTTGGCGAAGAACGGTGTCACCCCGTTGACGCGTGCTTCGTGTTGTTGTAGGCAAACTCGGCCATCGGTAAGTAGTCCACCCAAGTTGCAGGCTTTTGATTGGCGTAACATCGCAGGTACTGCTGCATGATGGCGTTGACCCTCTCCGCTTGGCCGTTGGTTTGCGGGTGTCTCGCCGACGCTAAGTTGATCTTGACATTCAGGATGCCCAGGAGCTTCTGCCAGAAACTGGAAATGAATTGGCGACCCCGGTCGGACAGGATGGACCGCGGTAAGCCGTGCACCCGGAACACGTGGTCTATGAACAGCTTGGCGGTCTGTTCCGCTGTTGCCACCTTCGCGCAAGGAATGAAGTGCGCCATCTTGGTGAACAGATCTACAACCACAAGCACCGCCGTCTTGCCCCGCGAACTGGGCAGATCAGTAACAAAGTCCAGCGCCACCCTTTCCCACGGCTGCAGTGGCGTCTCCAGCGGTTCCAGCAATCCCGCTGGCTTCTTGTGCACTGGCTTGGACCTCTGACAAGTGTCACACCTGGCGACGTAATCCGCGACCTCTCCCCGCATCTGGGGCCACCAAAAGTCTCTGGCTACTAAGTCCGCCGTCTTTTCTTTGCCGAAGTGACCCGCGCTGGGGGCGTCGTGTAACTGCTGTAAAACCTTCGCGCGGAGATCGTCTCCCGGCACGTAGAGAGCACCTTTGCGGGTCAGCAGGCCGTCGCGTATCTGGAATTCGCCGTCCTTTGCTGTCCCTCTTCGCACCTCCTCCATCTTGGATTGTGCGAACGGATCCGTCTGTAGCGCGCGTCGTACCGCGTCCAGGTCCACGGCGGCGGAAGCGCACGCCCACGCTTGCGGTGCGAAAATGTGCCTGGCTGCCACTGGTGCCGCTTCCTCGAGATACTGCGGTTTCCTGGAGAGCGCATCCGCTATGACGTTGTTGTCTCCCGGGATATACTCTATCCGGAAATCGAAATCCGCAAAGAACTCCGCCCATCTCATGTGCCTCTGGCTCTGGAGCTTCGCCGTGCGCCAATACTCTAGGTTCTTGTGGTCCGTGCGGACCTGCACGGTGTGCTTGGCTCCGATGAGGAAATGCCGCCACGCCTTGAAAGCCGCGTGGATGGCCAACAACTCCCTGTCCCAGATGGTGTAGTTCTGTTCCGACTTGCTGAGCTTCCGGGAATAGAAAGCGCAGGGCCTCCAGTTCCCTTGCGGATCTTCCTGCAAGAGGACGGCCCCCACTGCTCTGTCAGATGCGTCAGTCTCAACCCGCATGGGCCTGCCGGGATTCACGTGTAGCAGCTGGTCTTCGGACGCGAAGAGACTCTTAAGTCTCCTGAAGGACTGCTCCGCCTGGTCCGTCCAGGTGAACTTCTTCTTCTTGGAACTGAGGGTGTCCGTGATAGCTGCCGTCTCTTTCGCGAAACCCCTGATGAACTTGCGGTAAAAGTTGGCGAAGCCGACGAACCTCTGGACCTCCTTCCGATTGCGCGGGCTATTCCAGTCCAACACCGCGCGGACTTTGGCGCTGTCCATGGCTAGTCCCTTGTCAGACAGCCGGTAGCCCAGGAAATCCACCTCCGTCACGTCGAACTGGCACTTCTCCAGCTTGGCGTAGAGTCTGTGCTCCCGTAGCCTCTGCAGGACCTCCTTTACGTCTCTCTCGTGAGTCTCCTGCGATTCTGAGAAGATCAGAATATCGTCGAGAAAGCATACGCACTTCTTGTAGAGGAGTCCTGCTAGCACGTGGTGCATGAATGCTTGGAAACAGTGGGAGCCATTTTGGAGACCAAACGGCATAACTCTGTATTCATAGGTGCCCAGCGGCGTGAACATGGCCGTCTTCCACTCGTCACCTTCCCTCATGCGTATTAGATTGTATGCTCCGCGTAGATCCAACTTGGTGAAGATCCTCCCCTTCCTCACCGTCGCGAGCAGGTCGTCAATCTTGGGCATGGGGAAAGCCTTGGGCTTTGTCATCGAGTTTATGGCCCTATAGTCCACAATGAGCCGTTTTTGGGGCGTGTCCTTCTTCTTCACGAAAA